TAATAGTTCTCGAGGGAGAGCAACAATAAATAAAATTAACAGATGTCAGAGGTGAGAAGTGCCGGAAAGAAAAATAATTCAGAGAAGGGGCAAGAGGTTACAAGTTAAGGTAAGATTCATTCTTGCTGAGAAAGTGAACTTGACCTCAAGTGGTGAGGGAGCCTGTCTGGAAGAGAAAAGCCCAAAGCGCCAAAGTCATGCACTGTGACTACACGGGCAGGACGTGCACTGTGTATTTCTAAGGAGCCACAAGAAAGCCACAGCAAAGTGAATGAGAGGCAAAGTGTCAGAGGAGATGCGAAGGAGTGGAGAGGAGAGGGCCTGGGACTGCCAGTATAGTGCCCTGTGGGTGATTCCAAGCACTCTGACGTTAAGTGAGGAAGACATTACAGAGAAGACACTTTAAAGGATCACTCTGGCCTGTTTTGAGAATCAACTATGGGGAGGGGGGCAAGAAATCATACAGATAAGAGAGTGATGGTGGCTTGGATGTAAGGTGTTAACAAGTAGAGAGATGTGAAAGGTGGTTAGATTCTGAATGTATTTTCACGTTAGAACCAACACTATCAGCAGATGGGATGCGCATATGAAACAAAGAGAAAAGTCAGGGATAACAACAAGGTTTGGGGGCTTAGCAAAGAGATGGACAGAGTTACCACTCAAATCAGAAGGGCTGTGGTAGAAGCAGATTTGGGGGGAAGGGGCGTGAATATTTTATGTTGAGTTTAAGAAACATATTCGATTCCAAGAGGAGATGCTAAGTAAGCAGTGAGTCACACAGTTCTGCAGTGCAGGGTGGCCCTCCATAAAAATTTGGGAGTCGTTAACATTTCAAACCATGACACTAGGAAACCTCACCAGGGGAGGTGAGTACAGACAGAACAGAGAGTTTCAAGTCGTGAGGTAGTTGTTGGAGCGGGATGAGGGGTGAAGAGAGTTCTTTTTAAAGGTGTATAGACTAATGAGAATGAATCTACAGAGAAGAAAAGGTGATGCTGGAGAGGGCAGAGCACTGCTTAAGCAATTGCTGAAGGAGTTTCTTCTTCTATTTGCTTCAAAGATGGCTGAAATGCAGCATCCTATCTCTGTGGGCAGGAACGGATACATAGAAGCACTGAGATGCATAAGGGTAACTAAAATCACTGAAGCAAAGATGGATTTTATAAGAAATGGTCTCTGGACAACTCTAGAGCCATATGAAAAGAAATCATATCCATAACTCACACCATACTCAAGAATAAACTAGTGAGTGAATCAGAGATCTAAATGTAAAAGCTCAAGTATATTAGAAGAAACTATGTGAATTGCTCTCTAATAGGGTGTAGAAGATTTTCCACTATGATCAAAAATCCACATTCAATAACATGTCTTTAATTTATGGCTACAATGAAAATTTAAAAAACAATTGCAGGAACACCTGGGTGGCTCAGTCAGTAGAGCATTTGACTCTTGATCCCAGGGTCGAAATTTCAAACCCCACATTGCATGTGGAGCCCACCTAAAAAAAAAAAAAATTTGCATTTAAAAAAACCCATAAGCAGGGGTGCCTGAGTGGCTCAGTGGGTTAAGCATCCAACTTGATTTCAGCTCAGGTCACGATCTCATTGTTGTGAGATCAAGCCCCAAGTCAGGCTTCTTGCTGGGCGTGCAGCCTGCATAAGATTCTCTCACTCCCTCTCCCTCTGCCTCTCCCCCAACCTGTGTGCACATGCATGTGCGCTCCCTCTCAAATAAACAAATAAATAAAATGATAATGTGAAAAAGACACAGAAGCCAGTTTGAAGTTAAAGAAACTTCCATTAGCCAAATTTGGGACAATTTGATCAAAACATTGACAGTAAGGGATTACAGTTCATTGATAAAAGTAATCTTTGAGTCTGTACTAAAAGATAGATAGATAGATAATGGGAAAGTTCCTGCCCTGGAACTTTCCTGAATGCCAAACAACAAATGTACATATGAAGTTAGAAATCATCATTTAGCAACTATAACTGATTCAGTCAAGAATCATAAACAGATGTTAAAACTAGTGGGTAATAGGCTGATGAAGAACAGAAGATTTACATAATTTCAAAGTATCTTTCCACTAAAGTTCTTACCTTTCCATTAAAGAAGAATGATAAAGCAGGATGAAAAGTCATTGGGCTTTATGAAAATGATGGTAGAATATCTAAAATTTGTATTTTTTGAAAAATGGTAATATCAAAAACTAAGCTTTGCTTGTTTTAACCAGTTTTTATTAAAAGCTGCATGCTATAAAGCACTATTTATATTACCATCTTACTGTTATTTAAAAATTATCTATGCATTAAAAATAGGCCGGAATAATATATACCAAAATCTGAAAACTGATGGTGCTAAAAATTGAAATGATTTTATTCATTTCATGTTTTACTGTAGTTTAAATTTCTCTATAATGACCATATATTGATTTCATAACAAAAATATAAATGTGTATAATAAAATGAGGACTAAGTAGGTGCACAGCAAAAAAGCTGGGAAGAAACTAAAAGGCCAACAGTGCTTTGTGATTGCACGATGGGACTGTAGATGATTTTTTTTTTCATTTTTAACTGTGGGATTTAAGATTTAAAAAACACTTTAGGGGCATCTGGGGGGCTCAGTTAAACATCCGGCTCTGGATTTTGGCTCAGGTCATGATCTCAAGGTCATGAGTTTGTGCCCTGAGTCAGGCTCCTCACTCAGTGTGGAGTCTGCTTGAGATTCTCTCCTTGTCGCTCTGCCCCTCTCCCCACTTGTGCTCTCTGTCTCTAAAAAAATAAATAAATTTGATTTAAAACAAAAAAATAAAAACCACTTTAAACAAACACACAATCAAATTTTAAAAGTGGGCTGAGAACCTGAAAAGACGTTTTGCCAAAAAAGACCTACAGATAGGCAACAGACACATGAAAAGATGCCCAAATTCACTCATCATGAGGGAAATGCAAATCGGAACTGCAATGAGCACCTGTCAAATTGGCTAGTATCAAAAAAACAAGAAATAATGTTTTGACAAAGATGTGGAGAGAAGGAAGCCTCGTGCACTGTTGGTGGGAATGTAAATTGGTGCAACCACTGTGGAAAACAATAGAGGCTCCTCAAAAAATTAAAACCAGGCTCAGTTGATTAAGCATCTGCCTTTGGCTCAGGTCGTGATCTCAGGGTCCTGGGATGGAGCCCCATGTCATGCTCCATGCTCAGTGGGGAGTCTGCTTCTCCCTCTGCCTCTGTCTCCACCCCTTCCCCCACTCGTACTCTCTCTCTCTCTCTCTCAAATAAAATCTTTAAAAAAAATTAAACAAGAAATATCATATGACCCAGTAATTCCACTACTGGGTGTTTATCCAAAGAACACAAAAACACTAATTCAAAAAGATATATGCACACTGATGTTTACTGTAACATTATTTACAATAGCCAAGATACAGAAGCAACCTATGTGTCCAAGGATAAACAAAGAGGTAAAGAAGATATGGTACACATGTACACACACACACACACACACACACACACACACACACACACACACAGACAGACAGTAGAATACTGCTCAGCCATAAAACAGAATGAGATCTTGTCATCTGCAACAACACGAACAGGCCTAGAGGGTATTATGCTAAGTGAGAAAGACAAATACTATATGATTTCACTTTTATGTGGAATCTAAAAAACAAACAAACAGATCCTTAAATACAGACCACAAACTGGTGGTTGCCTGAGGGGCGGTGGGTGGGGGATGGGTAAAATAGATAAAAGGGATTAAGAGGTACGAACTTCCAGTTATAAACTAAGTCACAGTGATGAAAAGTAGAGCAGAGGGAATACAGCCAATAATATTGTAATAACATTGGATGGTGACAGAAGATGACTACACCATTAAGTAATGCATGCAATTGTCCAACTGATATGTTATATATGTGAAACTAATAGAGTATGTCAATTATACTTCAATAAAAAAAATAAAAATATAAAAACTGATGCTTACAGCTTATCAATTTATACACTGACTTTGTGATGCTTCCCTCATCATCTCTCCTTGAGCTCCTTCCTCTTAACTTCTGGCTCCTTTTCTATCTAACAAAAGATCAGAACCCCTTTCTCTGGGGCGCCTGGGGGGCTCAGTGAGTTAAGCATCCAACTTGTGATTTTGGCTCAGGTCGTGATCTCATGAGTTGTGGGATCAAACCCTGCATCAGGCTCCATGCTCAGCGGGGAGTCTGCTTGAGATTCTCCCTCTGCCCCCGCCCCACTCACAGTCTAATAAATGAGTAAATCTTTAAAAGCAAACAAACAAACCCCTTTCTTTAAAACTTCTCTATCTGCTACTTCTGAGACATAATTGATATCCCTCCAAGCACATCTGACATCACTTGTTTCGCATCTAGTGTTATTTTCGTGGTTGGTGCACAGAAATGGATCTTTCTATAATGGCTACCCCTGGTAATGTCATCTCCAACTGCAGAGCAGTTCCACAGAATTTATACCACTGCCTTTTGCTTTCCCAACCCTGCTCTCCTTGAATGGCTTGCCATCTAGAGTAAAGAGAGGTTAAGGAGTATTCTTAGAGTGGGGAGGAGAGTTCAAATATGGATATGTCTTTTCTTTTGTACAAGAAGTAAACGATTTTAAAACAGTGTCAATATCTATTAGGTTCCTCCACACTTTCTCACTGATAAGGCAGAGTAAGGTGATGATATTTATAACTTTCCCCATCAGAGCCTCGTGTGAAACAAGCGCTTCCCTCTTGCTAGGATGATCAATCTCTGCGCAGCAGAGTCCTGTGGAAACAGGGCCCTCAAAGACAGGGAAGTGAAGGTGGCTCTCCTATCCACAGAGTATTCTTAGTTAGATGCCACTTCCAGAGTTCTTCACAAATGTAATTTGTGATCCATTTGTAACTGATAAAAATGCACACATTTGGGAATGCAGATTGCAAACATACATCCAAAAGGTAGGCAAAACTGTGAATGTTTCTTAAAAATTGCCAATATACTTACAGTTTTCTCAGTATTTTCAAAAGCCTCTCTTGCTTCTTCAAATGTGCAGATTTCTTCTTTGCATTCACGATCAATGTTGCCCTGTCTTATCTCTTCAAAAAGTCCATTCGCTCTTGGATAGCGTTTCAATACTGAATTGGCTTTTTCTCCTGTGAGGAAAACTAAGAAGAGATAAAATCATAAGCATAAAGTTATAATTTGAAAAACATGCAGAAGCTTAATTACACAAGGTGAAAACTGCTAGGTGCTCTTTAGGAAACACAGCCAACATCCTACACCTCTTCCCCTGAGTTAGCAATGAAGTAATATTTAGCTCCAAACCACCACCTCTGCTGTCTACCTCCTCAGATGAGCATGTCTTTTCAGTAGCAGTTGCCCTGGGCAGGGACAGGGACAAAATTCATGGTTAGATTCAAACTTTAGCATATTCCTGCCAACTATCGGTATTTAAATATAGTAATAATGATTCCACCACTTATACTCGGTGTTACAAGTGGATGCCTCCAGGCATTCTGCTGTTGGACACCAGCAACCAAATCAAAATCCAGTCTCCAGACTATCAGTCTTTGTCCCCCTGAATAAAAGTAAATAAAGCTCCAACTGACCTAGTAATATAAACCCAGGGAACCCTTACTTCTATGAAAAGTGTTGACAAGACAGTATCAAGAAATTAAGATGAATTTGGCCATAACTCATTCCAAGGGACACTAATAATTTTGTCCTAAATACACTTAAGTTAAATATATTGTGATATTTTAATATATCAACCCAATTTCACTGTCCTACAGAAAAAGAAAATTCTTCTGTATGACTTATAGAGGCATTTCATATAAACACTCAAAATGCACATTTATGATACCCATAAAATAAATAAGGCTCTAGTTATAGGCACACTTACAGGGAATCATTTTTAATTTTACAAACAGATTCATTTTAAACTACAATTTCATTTTTCTCAAAGTGTCATTCATACTTCTTTGTATAGATAAATACAATGCTACAAGAACTTAGTCTCTGCTAATGCAAGGAAATCAGAAAAATCTCTAATTTTATTGACTTCTAACATAAGAAAGGGCACATTAAAGATCCTTTTAAGATGTTAAAGAAAAGTCTACATTTTACAAAGAACATTTTAAAGTAAATAAAAAACAGTAAGTGCTCTTTTTAAAAAAAAAGGCAACAATAGCAATGAATTTAAGGTTTACTTCATTATAGAAATGATTATTTCACTTCACAGAAGATATGGATTCACTACTTAGGATTCTTTATAGTATCCAAATTGATACCACCTGGATGGCACCTACAGTAGGATGAAAACTATGGTAGACCTTTCATAAGAGTTTCCTTCCTTCTATACCTCAGAGGGATAACCATCTATAAAAAAAATGAGCTGAGTCAAAGAATATCATCAGAAGAAATTGTAAAAAATAAAAATTGTGGCAAGTAGTACAAAAGAAATGAAAAGGGTGCTGTTGAGTTGGAAAAAAAAAAAAAAAAACCAGTCAAGTTTTCTAGCAGTACTTCTCACAGCTGCAGCATCGGAATCCCCTTGAGGACTTATTATCACTGAGGTTACTGGGCCCAGCTCCCACAGTTTCCGATTCTATAGGTCTGGGGTAGAGCTAAGATGCATTTCTTTCTTTTTTTTTTTTTTTTTAAGATTTTATTTCTTTATTTGACAGAGAGAGAGACAACGAGAGAGGAAACCCAAGCAGGGGGAGTGCGAGAGGGAGAAGCAGGCTTCCCACTGAGCAGGGAGCCCTACGCAGCACTCAATGCCAGGACCCTGGGATCATGACCTGAGCCCAAGGCAGAAGCTTAACGAATGGGCCACCCAGGCGCCCCGAAGATGCATTTCTAATAAGTTTCCAGGTAATGCTGGTGTTGCTGGTCTAACTACCACAGTTTGAGAACCACTACCTAAATGTGAGCTCCTTAGAAAACCAGTTCTGACATTAACAAATTTAACAAGATCTTTTACTGCATGACTTTTTAGGGGCCTTAACATATATTTAATCTCTATGTGCAAACTTCCAGAACAGGAATATGATACATACATTTGTCATAATTATTTGATTACAGAGCCCTTTATCAAAGAACATTTCACTGAATTAACAACTTTCTAGCCATTGGTCTTATTTTTGTCCTCTGAAATGACATACAATTCCCTTCCATAAATAGACCACCTGATACATGAAGACAGTAACTGATTTCTGCTAAGGCTTCTCTTCTCCAGGATAAGCATGTCTAGATTATTCATCTGTGGCCATATAAAATAGACAGGAGTCTGCACTATCTTTATCTCATAAAATACAGTGTCCTACACTCAGTGCATTACTCTGAGTGGTCTGACAAGTGTAAAACTGATTAGGACTATCTGCTTCCTTGTATTTAATCACAATAGATATATTAATATAGTCTAAGATACCCCTAGATTTTGGGACAGTTTTCTTGAAAACAAACCAAACAATCAACAACAATGTTATTTTAAGATTTTAAGAGAAAAAACTAAATTCGCCTCAGAAATCATTTTCATATATACCATCTACATGGAAAAGGAGGTCAAGGAAAGCAGCTAACTCTTGTAACCAGAAAGCAGGCTAATTCAAAAAGTTAAGCAACTCTAAGGTAACGTATAGCAGGACACGGCTCTCTAATGCCAGCCTAATCAAATTACCAAGAGCATTCCACAAACACAGTGTTTGTATTCCTTGCACTGGGCAGCAAGGTAATAGAATACTGAGAAGTCTAGGTAGAATATGCTTGCAAGTAGATTTTATCTCATTTGCCCAACAAATCTGGTCAATTAGAAGATACCACCCAGACAGTTATGATGGCAGAGTGGTAGGGGGACCCCAAGCTTGCCTCGTCCCTTGAATGTAGCTAGATCAACATCAAATCATTTTGAACAACTAGGAAATCGATCTAAGGATTAAGAAAACAGTCTGCACAATTGGAGGAAGAGAACGTGGCAGATGCGAGGTTCCAAGACATGAACTGAGAGAGAGAAAAACCGCAGTGCCTCAAGGGGGAGGGAGCCCTTTTCAGGGAGTGGAAGTCAAGGAGAGAGGGAGAGAGCGGAGAGAAAACAACGTGTAGGGTTCCTGCAAAACACTGTGGTGTGGGGATCCCCTGGGTCACAGTGAGAGAGAATGCTCCCCTCCTTGCAGTACATTTGGAAGAGTGTATATTGCCTCTCCAAGGACAAAAGGCCCACTGGGCGCCATACAGCGGCCATTAAACAGCAGGGGACAACTTTTTGCTGTGCTTCACCATAGACTCCAGGCACCTGCGCAGCCATGGGACTGTTTTTATGGGGCAGAATGGTGCTGGGTGCAGTGCTGTAAGGCTCTCCTCCAGGGAAGGGCAGCGGGTCTGCGCCTTGCCAGGTCATTTAAGATTTGGAATTTTGAATCCCAGCCACTGGCTAGAGATAAAACACAGAAGTGCCAGCAGTGCTGACGGTCCAGACACAGGTTGAAGGCAGGGATCTGACAAAAGCCTGGAACAAAGGAGGAGAGATTGTTCACTTTTCTGTGAGGGCCTCCTGTATGCAGCAGCTGTGAATTCCCCCACCATTTTCCACCCCCGCCCCCACCAGCAAGGTTGGACTTCAGAGAGAAAAACACAGCACTTCCAGTGGAGGCTGGAGTTGCTTACACCAAACCCCATGCCCCTGCACCAGGCCGGGGCATCTATACTAGGGCAGGTCTGACTGGGAGCCAGCATAGCTGGCCTCTCCCTCAGAAGACCAACACAGGTCCCCTGCATGTACCAGGTCTACTGATCACAGAGTGCTCCAAAGCATCAGCTTCAGTTCTGGTGGAAATAGGACCAGACTTTCTTTTTTTCAATTATTTTAAAAATTTTAAAAATTTATTTTACTTTATTTTCTTTCCAAACAGGCTTACAGTTTTTTGTTCAATTGTTGTTTTGTTTATTGACTTTTTTCATTTTTTGGATCAGGCTTCTTTTTTTAAAAGATTTTATTTATTTATTTAACAGAGAGACAGCGAGAAAGAGAGAGAGTGCATGAGAGGGGGTAGGGTCAGAGGGAGAAGCAGACTCCCCGCTGAGCAGAGAGCCCAATGGCGGGACTCGACCCTGGGACTCCAGGATCATGACCTGAGCCGAAGGCAGCCGCTTAACCAACTGAGCCACCCAGGTGTCCTCAGGCTTCTTTTCTTTCTTTCTTTCTTCTTTCTTTCTTTCTTTCTTTTTTGTTTGGAATCAGGCTTATAGTTTTTTGTTTGCTTTTTTGTTTCTTTTCCTTTACTCTTTTCTTGGATCAGGCTTCTTCTCTTCTTTTTTTAAATCAGGCTTATCTTAACAAACAAATAAAAGCACACCTAGACAAAAGCCCAAACACTCCCCACTGCAAGCAAGGAGGAACTCTGCAGAGGACTGACCTGTGGGAGATAGCAACCAAAACACAACAGCTGAGTGCACACAGCATACACCGGAAACACTTCCTGAAGCACCAGGCCCTAGACAGTGTATGACCCCTTCTTAATTATAGTACTACTCTAAGGAACAAGAAACATAACAAGCTTTCAAAATGCAAAAGACAGAAACCTAGATATAACAAGACGGAGGAAATCTCTCCAAAAGAAAGATCAAGAATAAATCACAGCCAGGGATTTGCTCCAAACAGATATAAGCAATGTATCTAAACAAGAATTTAGAACAACACTAGCTGGGCTTAGAGGAGCCCGAGCTGCCATGGCTGCTAGAGAGGAGCAAGTCTTCAACTTGCACAAGAAAGTGAAGATGGTCACCAAGTCATGCACCTAGTGCGACCAACAGGTTCCTGCTGCATGTAAATCTTGTCCCTGTGGTTATGTATTTCTTAACAGGAAACTTCTAAAAGTAAAACACTCAGAGAAATCATCATCTTTTACAGAAGTGAACAGTACCATATCTTTGAAATTTTTGTGAATACTGTTTTTATATGAATTTAAACTAGGACATAGTGGAACCACACCAAGTAGAAACATCAATTCTGTCTTTGGAGAAGGCTCTGCTAGTGAAAGGACTATATGGTGGTGGTGTGAAAAATTTTATTCTGGGGATATGAGTCTGAAAAAGGAGCCTCGAGCCAAATCTGTTTTAAATAAAGATCAGTTGAGAACCATGGTAGAAGCTAACCCCAAAAGAGCAA